CAGTGCCTCCTACAGCTCCCCACTGCACCCTCAACTCCATCTCCTACAGCTCCCCGCTGCACCCCTTAACTCCAACACCTCCTACAGCTTCCCACCGCACCCCTCAACTCCAACGCCTCCTACAGCTTCCCACCGCACCCCTCAACTCCAACTCCTCCTACAGCTCCCCACTGCACCCTCAACTCCAACACCTCCTACAGCTCCCTGCTGCACCCCTCAACTCCAACACCTCCTACAGCTCCCCGCTGCACCCCTCAACTCCAACGCCTCGTACAGCTCCCCACTGCACCCTCAACTCCAACAACTCCTACAGCTCCCTGCTGCACCCTCAACTCCAACACCTCCTACAGCTCCCCGCTGCACTCCTTAACTCCAACACCTCCTACAGCTTCCCACCGCACCCCTCAACTCCAACGCCTCCTACAGCTTCCCACTGCACCCCTCAACTCCAGCACTTCCCACAGCTCCCCGCTGCACCCGTCAACTCCAACGCCTCCCACAGCTCCCGGCTGCACCCTCAACTCCAACACCTCCTACAGCTCCCCGCTGCACCCCTCAACTCCATCTCCTACAGCTCCCCGCTGCACCCTCAACTCCAACTCCTACAGCTTCCCACCGCACCCCTCAACTCCAATGCCTTCTACAGCTTCCCACTGCACCCCTCAACTCCAATGCCTCCTACAGCTCTCTGCTGCACCCCTCAACTCCAGCACATCCTGCAGCACACCCACTGCACCACTCGGCCCCTGTGATCGAGGGGTATCCAGAGCTTTGAGGCTGCAGAGGACAAGTCTGCCTGGCCAGTCTCGCCTGGCAGTGCCATCCCATCCGGCCTGCCCATCTGTGAGGCAGTGTGGTCCTGTCTGCACTTAGCCCCCCACTGTGCTTCCTCTTCCCTCCCCACCACCACCCAGTGTGTAAATAGGACTTAGGCTTTTCCTCTGTCTGACCAGCCTGAGTTAAGAAGAAAGGGGTTGCCACTGCCCACAGCTGTGTTGTGTCCTTTCGGAGAAGGGTCGCGTCTGTCAGGTGTGTCCCTGAAGGGCCCTGAGCATCTTAAAGATTGTGCCTGTAGTTTGAGTTTCTGCCACCAGGTGGAGCCTGGACAAAGAATGTGGACCACACTGTAGGTGTTAAAAGACTGTTCGGCTGCCCACCTGCCAAGTGAGCAGAGACAAGGACTTTAAATCCACTTTATTCCAGTGCCAGCAATCTGAGAGAAAACAGAAACACTGCCCTAAAGACTGTGTTCTGGCATCTCAGGATCAAATCAGGTGGTTGGTTGGCTTGGTTTTTTTGGTGGGGGGAGTAAAGGGAGTAAAATTAGGGGAAAGGAATGTGGGAAGGGGGGAATGTGTCCAAGTTGATGGTTGACAGATGTCCTGTGTTTGATGTACACGGTAAATAGGTATCTGGCTTCCTAACAGTGCATTCTTCACGTGGCTTCTCAGGTTTTTATGTTGCAGATCCTTAGTTCCTGGAATGACAGTCTCACCACTCGCTAACCAATCAGGTTAATGGCTCTCAGAAAGGCAACTTGATACCGTCATCTTAAACTTGAACAATTATTAACTATCATCCTAAACTTAGACACCTACTGTCATCCTAAAATCAGACAATTATTTACTATTACCCTAAATTTAAGAACCTTTTTACTATCATCCCAAACTTGACAACTCTTGACCATCGTTCTAAATCTAAACAACAAGGTCTAAGCTTTTCCCACCGTCCAAACCACAGACTGGACAAAGAAAAGTTAAGACTCATTTCCTTTCAAGTAGCTTAACTGGCTTCTCTTCCTCTGCTTCTCTTCTTTCCCTGCTGCTTCTGCTGCTTCTTTCACTGTAAATGTAAGAAACAAGGGGAGTTCTGGTGGCCTAGTGGCAAGAAGCTGCACTGTAACCCCAGACTTAGATGGTTTGAATCCACTGGATGATGTGCTGGAGAAGGAGGGGCAGTCTTCTCCTGTCAAATTAGGTCCTATCAGATTCAATTTAACGGCACACACACAAAAAATAATAAGATTTAAAAAAAAAAAGAAACAGTAAGAGTACTCAAGTATTATCATCTAGTCTGGTGTAACATACCATGTGCAGTATGAAAACTCCTGAGGCATCCAGGTGACCCCCAACTGCTGACAGACATAAGTCTCCGATGTGCCGCCCCCTGTACCCTTGCTGGGCGGCTGAGCTCACAAGGAGCTGCCTTAGGCTCTCCCTGCACGTGTGACACCTTGAGGGGCATGTGTGGGTCTGACTTAGGGAAAGCACCTCTGACCGCCTCCTGTCAGTCTCCTGTCCTGCTGGCCCACTTGTGCCCTGTTCCTTCCACACCTATTGATCACTCACCGGCCACCCTCCTCTCTAGCTGGGCACTTGGAGCTTAGCATTCATGGACATTTGCATAAGTCACCATTGCAAGAGCCATCGCCTCCACCAGGTCTTTCTGGTTCCCCAGGTTGGGGCTCAGAGAAGGTCTCTTTTTAGACAGGATCCTTTTGTTAAAGCTGTGTACTCAGTGACCACTGTGGTCACCAAGAGACTGAGTGCCTGACCCATCCTGCCACCCTCCACTCTCCACCTCTTACCTGAACACTTCTGAGGAATCCACGGAACACAGGTGGAAGTCCTGGGACCTCATCCCCGCATGTGACTGCGGGGAGATTCACGGACGCAAGCTCCCTCAGAGTCACAGAGTTCAGCAGCTGGTAGAATCAGCTCAGATCCCCACTTCGTAAACCCTAGTCCTTGTTTTTCTTCCACTGTAAAGATTAACTGCATTTTACCATTGAAATGGTTGTTGGTCTTACTATCTTTTAGGATTATATATAATTAAGGCTGGTAGGAGGAATCCCAGCTCTGTCTGTGTGTTTGAGCTCTCAAAGAATAATGTTGGGAATTAGGGATAGGTGTTCTAGGTCAGGAGACCGCAGCCCCAGGTGACAGCTCCACCCCCAGGAGTCCAGGAGAAATGGGCAGGTGACAGCAAAGTGGCTCTTTTTTTACAGCTGAGGTAGGCCCCTTGCCCCACCCCCCACCCCGCTGACCCCAGTGACTGGGTTCTGAGCACGCAGGGCGTCTTCCCTTGAGACAGCCCTGAGAAGCTTCCAGTAAAGGCTCACGCATCCCTCCTGCCAGGACCAGAGAGGTGAGAAGCCAGAAAGTGTGGAGCTCAAGGCTGCCAGAGTAGAGACTCGGGAAGGAAGGGCCAGGCCAGGCCCACATGGCAGACACATGAGTCAAGGACACATGGTGGACAGGCCTCTTCTGTCAGGACGGTCCTTGCTGTCATTGGGTCTCATGGAAGAGAAAGACCAGAGAGAGAGAGAGAGACTTTCTTCTTGGCTGTGACCTTTCAGTGTCCAGTAATGCAGCCCTCCTCCCAGCGTGGCCCATGCTGGACCCTGGCTTAGATGAGGGCCCTTGTATCAGGAACAGGCTGGTCTTTCCTGAGCTTACAGGGGAGGCCTGAGGTGTGAGTCCAGTGGGTGCAAAGGACAATCAATGAAGACAACAGGTCAGTGTCCTGTCCCAGGTCAGCCCAGGGGTGCTGAGCAGACCACTCAGAGGACCCCTGCACCCACTTCCCAGCACGGCGCACACAGGCTTCTCCTCTGCTGCTCCCTCACTGAACCCCCGTCTGCAAGCCAGCCCTTCCCCTTCTGCTTTTCCTCCTACCTCTCAGCCTGCAGCCTGTGGAGTGATTTGGCTCAGAGTCTCTCAATCCTGAGACTCGCTCAGCTGGCCTCCCCGGCCCCTTTGCCCCCTTCTGGATCCTGGATAACTTGGAAGAGCTGAGGGGAACTTGGGGGCTAACCGTGGTTGTGTATCATCACCGCCCCAAGACCCTGCAGTTCCAAGTTTCCTCCCTCCTCATCCTTCTGGTTTGACCACCCATTCAGGAGTCTCCCTTGGACATCGAGCCCCCGAGCGGCCAACTTCTCCCTCTGGGGCAGTGCACAGTGGACGTCACCTTCACAGCCTCACTGTGCAGGAGCCTGCGGACAGTCCTGGAGCTGGAGGTGGAGAACGGGCCCTGGAGGTAAGGGCCTGGGGCGGCTGACCCGGCGTCATGCACGTTCCCACTGGGTGGCAGCGTAGTTACAGGTTTATCTCCGCGGTGGTGATGATGGCTGCTAAGTGCTGGCCAGTCCTGTACACCTCACAGCGACCCTGGGAACAACAGATCTGAACTCTGTCCTGTCCTCCGTCCTTACCGTCCCCAGCACACTTGGGCGCATCGCTGCCGTCACTGCATCAATCCGTCCATTGAGGGTCTTTCTCTCTCTCACTGACCCTCCTCCACCTTGCTAAGCATGATATCCCTTTCCAAGAAGTAGCGTCTCTTAACGACATGCCTAAAATTTACAAGAAGGGCAGAGATGGCCGGTTCATCTGTCATTGTTGTTGTTGTTCAGTCCATTTGAGTTGAGTGTGACCACCAGACCTGAACCCACTCCGGTCCTGTGCCGTCCTCACCGTCTCTGACACACTTGAGCCCCTCGGTGCGGTCACTGTGTCAGTGTATCTCATCGGAGGTCTTCCTCCCTCTCACGGACCCCCCACCTTTCCAGGCGTGATTGAAAGGACTGCCTGTTAGGGACTGTTGAATGCATTCCAGCTTCTGGTGACACTGGCCCTGCACCGTCTCTACAATCACAGCTGTCTCTGAGCCCATTCTTGGAGCCGCCAGGACATGTCATTGAGGATCTGCTTTCTCAGTGACCTCCTTCTGCTTTACCAGACGATACATGTCTAGTCTACATGGACTGCTCGCAGAGCAGACAGGTTTGACCTGGAGAGGGTGAAGCAGGGCTGCTCCTTGGAGGCAAGAATTCTGAAGCTTCATCTGACATACTTTGAGCATGTTGCAAGGGCGACCGGTCCTTGGAGAGGGACGTCATGTTTGGGAGAGTGGAGGGACAGCACAGGAGAGGAAGGCCCTCGATGAGATGGATCGATGATTGGGGTGGTGGGAGTGAGTGTGTTTGAGACAGCAGGGTTGGCACAGGACAGAGCAGGGTTTAGGGCTCTTGTACATGGGGTCACTATGACTTACAAGCGACTCAACGGCACATAACAACAACAACATGTTTATTCTATAAAACTTGGAAATTTTACAGAAAAAGAAAATTAAGATGACCCGTAAGCACATAGATAATGGTGAGGTGGTGCTTCTAAAATGTGTGTGTGTATTTGTTAGTTTAACAATAAAAGAGTCCGATAACTAGATAACTTACTTTTTCATTTAAGAATAAAGTGTGTTACCACATGGTTGTTGTTAGATGCCGTTGCATTGACTCCGACTCAGAGCGATGTTCAGGCCGTTGTTGGGCCCCTTGAGCCAGTCCGTCTCCTTGAGGGCGTCTGTCCCTCTGGCTTTTTTTACTGGATCTTCTATGTTCTGAGCATAAGGTCCTTCTCTGGGAGCTGCTTCTCCTGATAACGTGCCTGAGATAACAAGTATCTGAGCTGAAGTCTCCCCATCCTCTCTTCAAAGCAGCATTCTGGCTGCACTTTTTCCAAGACAGATGTGCTTGTTCTGATTGTTCTCGCTTTTAATAGTCCGTGAGATAAGAAATATTCTTCAGAAATGCCACAGTTCAGAGGTATCAGTTCTTTAACCTTCTGTATTCACTTCCCAACTTCTGCATGTTTACGAGCAGCTGAAAATACCATGACTTTGGGTAGGCACGTCGTTCAAGTCCACCAGCTGCTCTGTGGGAGAGAGATGCAGTGAACTGCTTCTGAAAACCCGCTGGAGGGTCAGCTATGGGTCACTTTTAACTGGACAGCACACAGCAACCATAATCCTCAGGCCTAGTGGTAAGAAGCTGCAATTCCAAAGGCACGTGGTTCAAATCCACCAGCTACTCTATAGGAGATGGGTGGGCAGTCTCCTCTGGAGTGATTAAAGTGCCTCTGAAAACCTGCTGGACGCTTGGCTTCCAACTCGATGGCACGACAACCACAGTCCTCAAGGTTCCATCGCAGACAGGGCTTTCTGGTGTGCGGTCCGCAGTGTGGTGCACTGCTAACCAAAAATTTCATCATTGGACCTTATCAGACTTACAGATCAGGTGACGGAAGGACAGATCTCACTGCATTGGCCAAAGACGGAAACCCGTATAACTGGGCTTTCCTGACTTACTGAACCCCAGCTTTCACAACAGTTCCTTTGTCTCGGCTTCTTTCTCCACCTTCATCTTCCCACCCTGCACCCCAGTTCCCCAACCCCCAGCTCTCAGTTCTCCTTCTCTCTTTTTTTTATTACTGCATGTAACTTTAATGTATTACAATTTAATATAAAATTACATCCTCTCATGTCTCAGAAACCTGATATTTCTTTTTTCTTTCTTTCTTTTAAACCTTTTTTTAAATTAATTAAGTCCACTCCACTGTGCAGCCTTCATTCTGGACTCCTGTCATGACAATAATACCCAGTCACATATCCCTTTTAAACAGTTCTCTCCCTCATCTGTTTCAATGCAGTAGACATCATTCCTCCCCTCCTTCTCTGCCTTCCCTCAACCCCGATGTCAGTCCCGTTTTACAACAGTGGCACCATGCAGTATTTGTCCTTTTGTGACAGAGATATTTCACTCAGCATAATGTCCTCCAGGGCCACCCATTTTGTATAATGTTTCATAAGTTCCTTGTTTTTCAATGCAGTGTAGTATTCCGTTGTGTGAATATCCGCAGCTTCTCTATCTTTTTGTTTGTTGATGGGCTCCCCTTCTCTTTTGTTAGTTATTTTCTCCCCTGGTTCTTACTCACACTTTCTGGAAGGGAAGGGGCCACTTAACAGGCTCCCATCCTGTCAGCTTAACAAACTCAGTTAACAGTGGTGACACCTCTCTCTTCCAGTAGGGTGGGGGGAGGTTATACGACTTGCAGCGACCCTGTGAACAAGTCTGAACACTGTCCCGTCCTGCACTGTCCTCCCTGTCCACCATGGGCCTGCTGGGTCCATACAGCTGTCAGTGAAATACGTTTCTTATGTGTTCTGTCTTCAGTCTTTTTCCTCACAGAGAGAAGAGTCCTAGGCCTTGCAGGTCCCTGATTCTCTTTGGTGGCAATTGTTTGTTGGGTTTTTTGTAACTTTTTTCTTCTTGGATTGTTTGTTTGTTTGGTGTTGTTTTTGTTTTTAATAGTGTCTGTTGTCTTATAGGTGCAACAACCTCTCAGATTCCCCAGAAAATTATTTTGTTTCCTCTAAGCTGAGTTTTGAGTTTGTAGCCTCTCCTTTACTTTTTGGGTTTCCTTATCTATCAAGTAATCCTTGGATGCCTGTTCCTTGTTTGTTTTCTTGTGGTGTATCATTGAGTCAGATCCAACTGGCACAGGAAGAGATTGCCCCTCCTTCTCCAGCAGAGCATCTGGTGGATTTGAACCGCATGCCTTCGGGATTGCAGCACAGCTTCGTCCTATTAGGCCACCAGAGCTCCCCTCCCGTTCCTAGTTCTGAATGGAGGTGGATGTTGATTTCTATAACGAGCTGGTGGTGTGAGTGCTCTCTGAGTGAGTTGGAGGAGGTGCAGAGACCCCTCTCCCAAGGAATGAAGTCAACCCAGGAATCAGTTCACTTCTTCATTTGTAAATAGGACTGAGTAGGAGCTTTTCCGTGGCTTCCTGCTTTATCAATTTGAAAGGCCCAGTGTAGCTGCTGTTTCTGGCTGGCCTCTCTCCAGCGCCACACCCCCCCTCTTCAGCTGGAGTTAATCTTACTGGGTCCAGTCCCACAGATAAGCAGTAGGGACCACATGTGTATCTTTTTTGTGAAGCAGACATTTCAGATCCTTTGTCCATTGTAAAAATTAATTGGTTAATCTCTTCTTTATCCTTGATTGTTTCCATTTCTTTCTTTTTCTTTCTATACATCATTTTCTTTATTATTTTTAATGAAAGTTTACAGAGACTTTGGATTTTCCATTCATTCATTGTTGCACTTTTCTCCCTGCCCACCCCTCCTCCCCAGTTCGCTCTTCTCTTTGAAAAGTTAAAGAAAAATTCTTTCATTGTTATACCATCCTTCCCCCCAAGCCCACTGCACTATGCAGCTTTTGTCTTAAAAAGTGAAAGAAAAATTCTTTCATTGTTATATAATCCCTTCCCCCAACTCCCCTCACGGTCCCTTCCCATCACTGTTAACCCTCAAAGATGGATTGAACGATGAATAAGGACAACTGAAGAACTGATGACGTTGAACTGTAAGCTTGGCAGAGGATACCGAAGACACTGTAGACTTCCACAAGAGCAGACAGATTCGATTTGGAAGATAAATGACCAGAAAGGTCCTTAGGAGTGAAGATGGAGAGCCTGTCTGGTATACTTTGGGCGTGTTACCAGAGGGGCCAATCCCTGGAGGAGGGCATCATGCCTGGTGAATTAGAGGGTCAGTGGAGAAGAAGAGGACCGTCGGTGAGATGGATTGACGTGGCTGCCTGGCTGTTCCATTAAAGTTTAGCGTCTCTGCAGATACGAGATCAACATACAGACTATTATTAGTACATGGAAAGCAAAACCAAGGTCTCTTTATTAATCGTTTCTCCTGTAATTTTCTAAACTTCTTCGAGCTATTTTGTAGATTCCTTGGGATTCTCT